ACTTGCTTTTTGGCTTATAACGTCTCAACCTTTCGTCCGAAACTCATGAAACTGGTCTCATTACATCCGGCAGAGCATGCCGAGTCGAATGATGTCTGATTTTCACAGGTCAGCCATTTTGGGCGTCGTCCATTTCGATTTTTGGCCAAAAATGCTATATTTTACCAACACATTCACATATCATTACAAAACATGGTATGCATCTTCAACCCCATGCCCTGAAAGTACTCAAAAACGTCTGGAGCAGCGCCACCTTATGGCCAATAGTGCTTGGCCCCTTAATTGCTGCTTGCAGCTATTTATTATTATTATTATTATTATTCTTCTTCTTCTTCTTCCGTTTCTTCCGCCGGATTTGAATGGCAGCCCATATAGGCGTATGCGGGAAAGTTGTATAATTTGGCACAATGATAGAGGCCAGTATTAACATTAATCAGGCCAAATATGAAGTCTCAAAATCAAACTCTCTAGCGCCACCACTTGTCCAAACTTTCACGTATGTTTATCATGATAACTTTTGAACCGAATGGGCTACAATCAAAATTCTTTTTTCCTCTGATTCCTTGGCTCAGTCCGATTCAAACCCACCCTATGACGTCATTTTCCGTCATGAGTTTTTTCGCGCTATTTTAAATTTTTTGAAAAACCTATTTGATCGAACTCGTCCTAGGCCGTGTCTCCGATTTTCACCAAAATTGAATCACATGATCTACAGACCATGCCAACCAAAAGTTATGGAATTCAAGTTGATTAGACCAACCGTTTTCGTTTAACTTGCGAACTAATTTAACATAGAACTTGCGAAAATGAACTTGAGGCGATATCTCTGTAACGCATTCACCGATTCACACCAAACTTGGTGTGTGTTATGACAACTAGGGTCTAAGGTTAATTGCGGAGTTTCGGCGCACTGCCTCCTAGTGGTCCGGAGATACTAAAAACTTGCTTTTTGGCTTATAACGTCTCAACCTTTCGTCCGAAACTCATGAAACTGGTCTCATTACATCCGGCAGAGCATGCCGAGTCGAATGATGTCTGATTTTCACAGGTCAGCCATTTTGGGCGTCGCCCATTTCGATTTTTGGCCAAAAATGCTATATTTTACCAACACATTCACATATCATTACAAAACATGGTATGCATCTTCAACCCCATGCCCTGAAAGTACTCAAAAATGTCTGGAGCAGCGCCACCTTATGGCCAATAGTGCTTGGCCCCTTAATTGCTGCTTGCAGCTATATTTATTATTGTTGTTGTTATTATTATTATTATTATTGCATTTTTTTTTTTATTTATTTATTTATTTATTGTGCATAACATATATTTGCTACAGCACCTTAGGGTATTTTTGAAAAATAATAATATAATAATAATAATAATAATAATTATTATTATTATTATTATTATTATTATATTTTTTATTATTATTGCATTTATTCATTTATAGTGCAAAACAATTTTCCAGAATCAAAAAGTAATTTCCTTTGGCACCTTATAAACATGCAATGATAGATAAATCAAACATGCTCATAGTTGTGTCATCATTACTGTAGTATTTTCTAAATTGAGCATTTACAACAGTGTTGCTAAATATAGATCATACAGTCATGAAAATCTAATGCGGGCTTTACCTAATATGAAATTGAGGTCATGTATGTGACACAAAATTCATAAAAGGTTGTTCATGGCAATTCTTACTCATTTACAGTTAAAAAAAAAAAGCAATGTTAAATGAAAATAAGGCTTTGCTAAATTTAAAAAAAAAGTATTATATATCTCCTTAAAGCATCTTCATGAAGCAGAAGTGGCTGATAAGTTGCATATTATGTTGGCACTGCTCTTCTTTTACCCTGTTACTATATTTAAAAAAAAAAAACTCTTTTGTATGAAATATAAAACCCATCCATAATGGAAGAATCCGATTCTGATGGCTCTCTCTCACTCTCTCTCTGTTTCTCTCCTTGTGTTTGAAGAGCCAGTTTTGCTCCACATAAAAGCTCTAACAAGCAATTCAGGCCAGGTCTGTTTCTTCAGCTCCAGAGAGCTCCAGTCTAGCCTGTGTAATCAATCACAGAGTAACCATCTATTCCTGAAGACCTGCTGAAGCAAATGATATGCAATCGCAGTCTCAGTACACAGTTAACGGTCCAGAAAGGGGTTACTCTGAGTCCAAAAAAAAAAGAGAAAAAAAGGCATTACTTTACATGCAGAGCAAATGAGGTAGATTAGCCTGGATGATTTTATCTTTCATTTAATTGCTTGAGTAGTTTAATAGGTACAAACAATGTGTAAAAACAGAAGAATCTGGTGTTTCTGGTTTATTTATCTCAGATACATTAAGATACAGGGCGACACGGTAGCTCAGTGGTTAGAACAAGCAAGAAGGTTGCTGGTTCGAGTCTCAGCTGGGTCAGTTGGTTATTTCAGTGTGGAGTTTGCATGTTCTCCCTCGTGTTGGCTTGGGTTTCCTCCAGGTGCTCCGGTTTCCCCCACAGTCCAAAGACATGCGATGTAGCTGAATTAAATAAACTAAATTTGCCGTAGTGTATGTGATAGTGTATGGGTGTTTCCCAGTACTGGGTTGCAGCTGGAAGGGCAAAAAATGGTATCTTGAAATCAGGTCCTTAACTTGACTAATTTTGGATGAATAAATAAAATAAAAACAAACTAACAAGTCTCAGTGTGTGTCTCAGTGAATGAACAGTTGGGTTTTGTCACTCCACTGCTCATCCGTTTGCACTGGCTGCCAGTTACTGCTCGCATCAAATTCAAAGCTCTGATGTTTGCCTACAAAGTCACTTCTGGCTTTGCTCCTTCTTATCTGCTCTCACTTCTGCAGATTTATGTGCCCTCCAGAAACTTGCGTTCTGTGAATGAACGTCGCCTCGTGGTTCCATCCCAAAGAGGGAAGAAATCACTTTCCCGAACTCTCGCGTTCAATCTGCACCGGTGGTGGAATGAACTCCCTAACTGCATCAGAACGGCAGAGTCACTCGCTGTCTACAAGAAACGACTAAAAACTCAACTATTTAGTCTCCACTTCACTTCCTAATCTGCAATTGCCTCTCTGGATATACCACTAACTGTACTCAAAAAAAAAATTACTAATGCTTTCCTTCTTAGACTTTACACACCTTAAACTTGCCTATAGCACTTATTCATTGTTGCTCTTTTAGTTGTGTAAATTGCTTCCTTGTCCTCATTTGTAAGTCGCTTTGGATAAAAGCGTCTGCTAAATGAGTAAATGTAAACGTAAATGTAAACTAAAAGTGACTATTTTTCAATTGTAAATGTTTTGTGCATTATGGCTATCATATCATGTATACTACGGCCATTTAATAAACAATAGTTTTATGAAAGATGTAATCATTTTTAGAGACAGTGTTTTAAGAATAATGAATGCAATTTTTGTTTTAATGTACAAAATATTATAAAACTTTGGGTTTTACACTACAACATTGTACATGAGGTCTATGAATAAAAGTACTTAAATGTGACCCTGGAAAACAAAACTAGTCATACAAAAGACATTGAGATGCATTCATAATCTGAAAACTGAATACATTGATGTATGAGTTGTTATGATAGGACAATAGTTGGCTGAGATACTAACTAATTTGGGTGGCGAAGTGTGTAGCGCTGTCACCTTATAGCAGGAAGGTTTGAGCCTCGGCTGGGTCAGTTAGCATTTCTGTGTGGAGTTTGCATGTTCTCCTCGGTTCGTGTGGGTTTCCTCGTGGTGCCCCGGTTTTTACCCACAGTCCAAAGACATGCGGTATAGATGATTTGTGTAGGCTAAATTGGCCGTAGTGTAGGTGTGTGAGTAAAACATATGCTGGATAAGTTGGCGGTTCGTTTCACTGTGGTGACCCCTGATTAATAAAGGGTCCAAGCCAAAAAAAAAATTTATGAAAAACTAATTTGAATATCTAGAATCTGAGGGTTCAAAAAAAAAAATCTAAATACTGAGTGAATTGTCTCTAAAGTTGTCCAAATTAAGTTCTTAAAAGTTATTTTGGTAAATTTTTGTTGGGAAATTTGCAAAATATTGTCATGGAAAATTGTGTTTACTTATTTTGTCATAAAATAAAAATAATTTGACTCTGCTATTGCCAAAATATACCCGTGCTACATTACTAAACAAAAATATAAGAATGGCTTTACTATCACTTTACACATGGGTTACAACTATAGTTAGTTTTCAACTATATTGTGATATTTAGTATGAGTTTACAAACTAATTTTCTTAAAGGACATGTAAAGTGCTTTGAAATGTGCATTCTATATTCGATGTTTGACAAAATCTCAAGTGAAAAACAAAGAGAGGGAGTCACATAGATTAGCTCCTCCCCTTTTTTAAAACAGCCAATAGTGCTTTGTTTTTATCACAGCTTTCCGAGTAAAAGTTAATTTAAAGCTCATCAAATGAAAGCAAACGAAAAGGGGTGGGGCATGTAATAAACTAAAGAGCATTTGATTGGTCAACTCAGATTTGATGAGTAACTGAAGGTGACGTGAATAAAATCCATTTAGCCAGAAGGGACAAACTACAAGCTTTACATAATTATATCAGCTTTATATCTCCTAAAAGTGAATTTTTGTTACTGTTTTGTAGCACACTAGCTTATAGATATCCTTAACACCAATATACTGATACCAACATCTAATACACATTATTTTAATTTCACTTAATGGCTCAAAAAAGGTTTCCAAAAGCCTTATACATGTCAGCTTTATTCATCTATTTTTTTCATAACCATATGAGTGCATTTTATACGTCCTTTAATTAAAAACTCCTATTTACTCTAAAATCTCCATGATATTATCTGTAAATAATACATTCAAGCATCTTCCAGTGTAATGTAGGACAATTCCAACCTGAAGCACATGCTAATTTCATGCTAGGATGTGTGTAGGTGTTTCCTCATTGCATGCACAAGAAATGCAAATCACCTGAACTAAATTCAGGTCACTAAAAATACCTAAATCCTCTTCCGCAGACATGCCTGGAGCTGGAGCGCTACCTGCAGACAGAACCCAAGCGTCTGTCTGACCTTTTCGACGAGGAGCTGGACGGCCTCCTCAGCCCCTCCTTCATGAAGGAAGACGGAGACGAAGACCTGTTAGACCCTCTCCTTCCCAGCCTCAACAACCCTCCCAGCCCTTCTCAGCGTAAAGAAACCCACTCCTCCATTTCTCCAGATGCCACCTTAGGAGTCAACGCTGCCCAGCTGAATGCCGTCACATCACTAACACCGCCCTCATCTCCAGAACTGGGTCGACATTTAGTCAAACCCACCCATACGCTCAGTGCATCACCCGACGGGACCCTCACGCTCAAGCTTGTGGCCCGAAAGGTGGGCTTGAGCTCTGCCAAGCTTGTGGCGGCTCACCCGGTGCCACTTTCGCCTCAGCATGGTAGCACTGGCACTCAGAGCGATGGGGAACAGGGTGGCACCTGTACTATTGGAGTCGGCGATATGGCGGAGAATAAAAAGAGGGTCCATCGCTGCCAGTTCAACGGCTGTCGGAAGGTCTACACTAAGAGTTCGCATCTGAAGGCACATCAGAGGACACATACAGGTAAGCATGTATATTTGTATGCTCATTTTTTAATTGTGTTCATTATTTTTGTTGGCTTTTTACCATTTCATTGACGGAAAAGTTACAAACACAAAGCAGATCAAGCAGTTTTCGATGAATGAGCCAATGGATCATTCACTTGTCAAACGAAAAGAGGCTTTCTTCATTTATTCAAGCTATTAGCTCTAAAACACAGATTCATTCAGGAACAAAATGAGTATTTAAAAATGATTCACTGAATCATTCACTGAACCAATTTGTTCTGAAACTTAAATATAATAAGGAATTAAATCGGTGACTATTTTTAAATGATTGCCTGAATCATTCATCAAACTTAACTGTTCTGAAACAATTTTTTCATTCAGCTATAGATTTATTATGGAATGATTTAAGTGATCGTCTTAATAAATGAGTCTGTGAATTGTTCAGCCGTTTTTTTTTTAAGAAATAGATTACTTCAGATTCAACTGATTCGTTCAGAAACTGGTTAATTTAGGAACCAAACAAGTGACTGTATTTCTGAATGACTCGCTGAGTGGCTCTCTTTTGTGAGCAAGACTCTGAATCATATGTTAAATTGATTCAACCAGAAATACTGATTCATTGAGGAGCAAAACGAGTGACTGTTTTTGAGTGAATCACTGAATTACTCAAACTGATTTGCTCAAAAACACTGATTCATTCAAGAATGAAACTAAACCTCTTTTGTGAGTGAGTCAATTTATTCATTTAGAAATACTGATTAATTCAGGTACGAGACAAGTAACTATTTTTAAGTGAGTCAGTGAGTTACTGATTGAACTGATTAGTTCCGAAACTTTGATTCATTCTGGAGTAAAATCAGTAACTATTTTTAAATGACTACCTGAATCATTCATTGAACCAAATTGTTCTGAAACTATTTTTCGTTCAGCTATAGATTTATTATGGAAAGAATCAACTGACTGCCTTTTTTTTCTTTTTTAAGAAATAAATAACTTCAAATTAAACTGATTCGTTAAGAAATGGAATAATTCAGGAAGTTGTTTTATTATTCACTGAGCCTATAACTGATTCATTTTGGAATAAAACAACAGACTCTCTTTTTGTGAGAAAGTCACTGAATAATATGTTAAATTGATTCATTCAGAGATACTGATTCATTCAAAAACAAAACAACTAACTTTCTTTTGTGAGCAAGTCAATTGATTCATTCAGAAAAAAATGATTAATTTAGGTATGAAACAAGTAACTATTTTGAAGTGAGTCACTGAATCATTTTATTCATTCATTCATTTTCTTGTCGGCTTAGTCCTTTTATTAATCCGGGGTCGCCACAGCGGAATGAACCGCCAACTTATCCAGCACGTTTTTACGTTTCTTGCTGTGATACGACAGAACAACCTACTGCGCCACTGCATCGCCACTGAATCATTTATTAAACCAAATTGTTCTGAAACTATTTTTTTGTTCAGCTATTGAATCAAGTGACTCTCTTAATAAATGAGTCTTTTTTTTAAGAAATAGATAAATTCAGATTCAACTGATTCATTCAGAAATGGATTAATTCAGGAAGGAAACAAGCGACTGTATTTCTGAACAAGTCGTTGTATTATTTTTAAAGCCTATAACGGAATCATTTCGGAATAAAATAACTCTTATAAGTGAGTCACTGAATCACATGTGATTAATTCGTAAATACTGATTCATTCAGGAACGAAACAAGTACCATCTTTTTTGTAAACGAGTCAACTAATTCATTCAGAAATACTAATTAATTCAGGTATGAAACAAGTAACTATATTTAACCGAGTCACTTAATCACTCATTGAATGGATACATTCCAAAATACTGATTCATTTAGAAATGAAACAACTAATTTTCTTTTGTGAGCGAGTCACTGAATCATGTTAAATTGATTCATTCGTAAATACTAATTCATTAAGGAAGGAAACAAGTTACTCTTTTGTAAGCGAGTCAATTGATTCATTCAGAAATACTGAATAAGTGATCGTTTATGACTAAGTACATGTTAGAAATTGTTATCACTGCGAAACAACACAGCATATAATTGTGCTTTATTCAAATAATTTATTAGTTTACTTGCGGCTTTAAACAATCACTGCTCTACCAGTCATGGCATGGTATGCATTTAGTAATACTCAGACGGTTACACCACATTTATCATTAATTTTCATATTCCGCACAATCAATCTTATTTTACACAATAAGCGACAAGCTGATGTAATTAATGGCGCTTGGTCGTCGCGATGGCAGCGTGCCTGTCCGGCCCCTCGGCGGCAAACATTTTCTCAAGGTTGCGACAGTACTTCCTCAGCAGATTCGAATGGTGCAGGAAACGGCCATAATTCTCTGTCTCTTCGATCTCAATCCAAAAGCACTCAGACTGCTGTCCCAAAGCTGTCCGCGGAGTGAATAACTGCCTCATGATGGATGGACCGGCTGGAATGAGACGTAGTCGCCTGTATTTTTCCCTACGCCTGCTGCGCGCCGGTTAACACATCAGGGCAGATCCCCAAGTCTCCAAACCAGAACATGCCACATGTTAATGGCTCCCTTCTGATGCTTTCCAAAGTATTTCAGACATGTATGTTATGACACGAGGACCAACAGTCCAGAATGATCAGGAACAGCTTGTCAAGGTCCAAAATGGACAACAAAATTGCTAAATTAAAGATGAAGCGTGTCTGTGATGTATTTCATATTGCTCGTGGCCTTTTCAAGGCTTTTTTGAAGTCAATAGCTTCAAGTAACTATATTTGTCCTGTAGTGTAGCTCTTAATCTAATTTGTTCATACTCAAGCTTGACGTGTCATAGAAGGTATGATATCAATGACGAAAACAAGCATTTTGTCTTTGGTTCTTACAACTAGGGATGGATACTTTATCATTATCGGTGCTAAATTATAAAAGACTGAAGTATTGATAAGCTCTGACGTTAACGGTTCTGCTATCAGTACTGGAGAATTATTGCTGAATAACATTACTTACAGTAGCATAATTTAACTGACAAACCTTTTCTAATTTTGCGATATTCATCTGCACAGTTGGCAATCTCACATGAGAAATTCTCGTGTTTTCGCTCAATAGTGCAAAAGCGAGCACATCAAGTATAAAATCCTTCACAGCTCTCTGTGGAGGCTTGCGCTAAGCGTACACACATTGCTCGCGACAAAGACTTGCGTGCACACACAGCTCGTAAGCTTGCGGAGTGGCGGAGAGAACCAAACGGGTTGTATTTCCGGAGTGGACAACGACAATCCCCATTGCAACAAACACAAGTTGTTTTCTTGTATAAGCAGAAACGCAAGCAATCTGGCTAAGCATCTTTCAAAAGTGCATTAACTGCAGACAGACAAATGAAAAGTTTTCGACTGAATAGCTAAAGGTACATATTTCACATCGTTATGCTAGCAGTCAATCGCTTAAGGTTTCTCTAAATTAGTATAATATTAATTGTTTAATAAACACACACATTCGGTTATAATGAAAACAGGATTTTTCTGCAGTACCCTAAATAAATCTTAAACATGCTTTTGCATCAGCTGTATTCACAAATATAGCCTTTGAATAGCTTAATAATAAACTATGCTTATTAAGAAATTATAAAAAAAACTGCTTTTTTTTTTGCTGTTAACAAAAATTGTTGTTAACTCCCAAAACACTGGTAACTCATTAATGTGAATGATGTGAAAACTCATAAACATTATGTGATTCTTTAACTGCCTTTTGCAACTCTCACGTTCAATCTGCCCAGTTGGTGGAATGAACTCATTTACTATCATCAGAAGGGCAGAGTCACTCGCTGTCTTCAAGAAACGACTAAAAACTCAACTATTTAGTCTCCACTTCACTTCCTAATCTGCAATTGCCTCTCTGGATATACCACTAACTGTACTCAAAAAAAAATTATTACTAATGCTTTCCTTCTTAGACTTTACACACCTGAAACTTGCCTATAGCACTTATTCATTGTTGCTCTTATAGTTGTGTAAATTGCTTCCTTGTCCTCATTTGTAAGTCGCTTTGGATAAAAGCATCTACTAAATGACTAAATGTAAACGTAAATGTAAACTAAAAGTGACTATTTTTCAACTGCAGGGAGCACAAGAAAACCAGAAAAGGCAAACATGTTGATTTTTCTCCAAAAGAAAAAAAGGTTAACAGAGAGTCATTGTCTTTTAAACCATTGTACATTCTTTTACAGAAAAATAAATACTTATTTGTTTTACAATTATTGGTTTTGCTTTATTTTACATTTTAAAAAATTAGTTAAATTAGTTTTTTATATAAAAAAATTACTACAAAAAGTACTAAATAAAGAACCGTTAAAGCACCGATAAGTGGTATCGATAAAAGTAGTAATACTGTTAAAACCTTAACGATACCCATCCCTACTCATAACTCATTATATTAAGTGCAGAAATCTGCAGATTTTTAGCACATCATTGACTCAATGTATTTACTTGTTTAAATGTGTGTAAATTTTTATTTATTTAGTTTATAAATTCATTTCACTAATATTATTGGTATATAATAATTGTAATATTAAAATGTTGACATGATTTATTTACAATACAGTTTGTAAAGTATTTTTTTCTGTCTTTTAGTAGATATTTTTTTATGAGAGACTTGCTTTGTTTAACAAATAAGTGGATCTAGGTGATTTGCATTGTAAACGTTAAATAAAAATTCTAAATGTATTATTTTTATTAGTAAATAAACAGTTTTTAGTTTTGATGCTCCTAAAATTATTCTGCATAAATCCGCAAATTATTTTACAAAATTCTCCGCAGAAAGAGCAAAAAATATCTGCAGATTCTGTCTGGATTCATCTTCAATGCCTCCTCCTGCATCTTATCCCAGACATGCTCAATAATGTTCACATATGGAGACTGGACTGGCCAATCCTGGAGCACCTTGACCTTCTTTGCTTTCAGGAACTTTAATGTGGAGGCTGAAATGCAGTATAAGAGGGAGCGTTTGAAGAATTTGCCCTC